CCTCTCTAAAAGGCTATTTAGCAATAATTATCAAAACTCTGAAAAAACATGCTTACCCTGAGCCGTCAATTCCACTTCTAGTAACTGTTATAATATTCTAGTAACATGTCTTATAATCAAACAGATGTGCAGACATAGGTGCAATGATATTTTCCATAATACAGTTTATGACAGGAGAGAAAACGTCCAACCAACTATGGTTAAATAAGTTGTGATTCAGTACATTCACCAAAAGGAATATCATATAGCCATTAAGATTTTTGAGGTCGGTCTTCGTGTACTGACAAAGAAAGATATTTCCAATATATTATTAAGGGAAGAGTGCAGGTTAAAAAAAAAAAAAATGTGTTTAGCATCATAATTTTGTACAAAGCTATTTAATCATAGTAATATGAATAGGAAAATGTTCTAGAAGTATAAACACTACCAAAAAATTTTAAAAACTTACATGCCTTATCTATTTTTTCCGTAATTGATATGTATTATTTCAACAATGAAAAACAATAAATAAATGTTAGAAAAACTTGCTCCTTGGGGCAGGCTTCTCTCCAGCCAGAGCCAAGCCTCCACCTGATGCAGGCCACAGCCCTTCCCAGGGACAAGCTGAGATCACTGCTTTGCACAAGTGGACCCAGGTGTTCGTTTTGTGCCAATATCCTCCTCCTTTATGTGCAGATAAGCAAGAGTACAGAAATTTTTATATTGAAAACTCAATAGGACTCTAGGTTTTAAGTGACAGAAATCCACTTAGATTCATCGGTATAGCTGAATCCAGGTGCTCAAGCAATATCCTCAGGGTCCAGCCTCTCTCCTCTCTCTGCTCTGCTTGCCTCTGCCTTCACTTCGCTTCTCGTGCAGGGGCAAGATGGCTGCCAGAACCCCAGACTGACTGCCTGGCCTCTCAGCAGCCCCAATGCAAAGAGAGCTTCTCTTTCCCAACAGCTCCAATGGGAATCCAGAACTGGGTCTCACTGGATCTGACTGGCCTAATTTAGGTTCCATGCCCATTCCTGAATTAATTCCGGTCAGTGGCATCACTAGCGTTGGTGTCACCCAGAGTGGTAACTCATGGTATCACCGCCCCCCCCCCATGGAACTCCTCCCATACCAGACCACACGGAATCCTTAGCAGTGTTTTCTGTACTAATGTTACTCATAAATCATAATTCCCGTATATCACTCCTTCTTTTCCTTTAGTTACTACTTCATTCTCAAAAGTTATTGATATAGGATCAAAAATACTAATTACCACAATATTGTAGCTAAAACACCAGAAAATCTGACAAAATCATCAACTATTAACACTGGCAGCAATGAAAACAACAGTGCATGCTTGTACTGCATGCAGATGAAACCACGTGATTCGAAGCATCATTGTAATTGGGTAATCATGACAGCTCTGACCAGAGTGCATTAGAAAGTTCAAAAAGTAAATCAGCATAGAGTTTTAACCTTTAGGTATAGTGATACATGTAAGCTGGGCTTATGAAAAATGTTTTTGTTGTTATAACTAACTACAGAGATATTTTTATTAAAAAAATAATACATTTCTGCGGAAACACTGCACAAAAACTTTACAGTCATTCTGAAGTCACCCCCTCTGACAGTGTCACCCAGTGAGGTCTACATCCCCCCACCCCTCTAGTGATGCCACTGATCCCGGTAGCCAGAGGGATGCAATATTCGAATGTCCAAGCTGGCACAGATTAACAGCCAGAGTGGGGCCTGCCCAACTCTAAAACTCCTAGTCTTTGCTTACACCAGGCTGTTTCTCCCTGGGGGCACCTCATTCGCCCCAAGTCAGTCAGCTATAGACAAAGGTATGAATGGGTAAGGAATAAATGCACACACTTTCACTGTTCTCTGCAGGTAGAGATCAGGATCCTACATCTTTGTTTGTTTGTTTCCTTTAACCTTGCAGGTCCGAACAGGAGCTGCGGAGGCAACCTTGCACTGTATCTTTGACCATCACATGACAGGTATGATTGATGGCCTTTGTGATTCTCGGCTGTCACAATGTCTGGAAGGGGAGTCAATATTGGGAGGAGAGGGGATCGCCAGACTCAATGATAGGTGTCGACGTGAAGTTAGACTAAAATAAAACCAACAGACAGAAGGCATCAAGCACCACAAGCTTTTGTAAGAAGAATAAAAATTCAGTGGCTTCCTCTGGTCTCTGCCTCCCAAACCATTAAAGACATTTCCATCCATTATGGCCCACGAGAACCTCATCTGAACTTCACAAAACAGCAGAATTTTCTCTATCAGTTGTTACCATTGCACCCAGCATTTCATAAACAGAGGCTCATACTTGACGCAGTAGACTGTGACTTTTTACAAATCACGCTTCACAAAGGAGAGTTTTCAGAGGACAACAGTTTTGTATGTTGGAACAATCTGGCTTTCTAGCCACTGCATTAGTGTTTTGATAGAATAAACAAGAGAATGTCTACTTCTACACAAGGGCTTAATGCCTAGTAGTAAATATCAACAACCTATTTTCGATGCTAATTATAAACTCACAGCACCAACCTAGGGTTCATGCCAATAGCTTTTCACATCATGTGGCATTTCTGTTCATTTGGTCACTTAAAAAAACATTTTTTTATAAGGTGTGCAGCTAGTTTTGTGCTAGGTGAGGGAGGCTGTTGGATTTCTGTATTTCAAAACTATATGATCAGCATAGTAGAAACTACGTGGGACGGGGTAAGAAGAGGGAGAGCTGGTGTGAGTGCATGCTGTGAGAGTACTTTAGGGGTACACTTTGCAAAACCCTGCAAATCCCTTTGGCTAGTCATAGGAGGATGTTTAATTCTTACTGCCCAAACCGGGCCAAAATCAAGAACTTCTAGCAGAAGATCATGTGGTCAAAAGGAGTAAGAAGATGGCCTGCCTCGTATTATTATTTTTCTAAAATGTTTATTTATTTGCTTCTTTATTTTATTCAGGTATAATTCACATACCATCCAAAGATGGAAATCAAGAAGTCTGTGAAAGTCCAAAGTCATCAACCTTGGTTGCACATCACTGGATTTAAGCTAACCTGCTGATGTTCAATTATGAAGGAAAAAGACCACATTTACAAAATATGTATGAAGTGCTGAAAACCTATGGCATCAAAGAGTGTATCTAAATTGTGGAGTGTAATAGAAGGTTTTGTAACCGGATTTTAAGTCTCTGGGAACAACTGACTGCTCCTTACAAATGTGCACTTTCATACTTGACCTCCAGGACTGAGCCAGGTACAAAAGGAGTGGAGTGACTGGGCACTCTTGCCTCAAACAGTAAGATCCTGTGATCAGGGACAGCCCTATGTTCCACTTAATGGGCACATAACAAATATTGATAGACTGATGGATTGTAGCTCATTAGTATTAATCTCATTTCTTGATGGATAACTATCTTCTTGCCAATGCTGTCACTTCAGCCTATTTCTCCTGCGCCAGCTCCGAGAAGTGCATCAGTATGGAGATCTTTGGCCTCCATGTAAATCCACTGGGGCCTTTTCCTGTGCGATGTTTGCCACCACTGACCTCAAATCTAAGCTCATGTCACTGATGTCTGATGCTCACACCTGGATGGGGCTGTGTTGCTGCTCAGAACGGGAGCTTCCTGTTTACCTGGAAGCCTGGTAACACTGATACTCTCATTGTCAAATTGGAGAGGTTATGTACCCATTTTAGCATGAGATCCATATGCCACTCTCCTCCGTGGTAAGAATGGAAATGGGCACACTCTTCCTGAGGGGCCACATGGCAACATGGATCAGGACTTGGGAGCTTTAAAAAGGGAACTCACCGAAATGAAGTCCTGATACATGCTACAACATGGAAGAATCTTGAAAACATTATGCTGAATGAAATACATCAGACGCAAAAGGACAAATATCATATGATCCCACTTAGAAGAAATATCTAGAATAGGCAAATGTACTGAGACCAAAGTAGATGAGTAGTTACTAGAGGTTGGAGGGAGAGAGGAATGAGAAGTTATTGCTGAATGGGATATTGAGTTTCTGTTTGGGGCAATGGAAAAACTTTTGGAAATAAGAAATTGGTGATGGTTGCACAACCGGGTGAAGGTAATTAATGTCACTGAACTGTACACTTAAAATGGTTAAAATAGAAAATTTTTGTTAGATATATTTTACCACAATAAATCTTTTTTTTTTTTAAAAAAAAAAAAGAGGAACTCACACTTTGACCCAGAAATTCCACTTCTAGGAATTCCTCCTACATAAACAACCAGACAAATGTACAAAGATGGCTGCACAATCATGTGTTTTGCAGCATTTGTTACAATAGTCAAAAACTGGAAATAATCTCCAAGTCCCAAATAGGAAAATGTTTGCAAAAGATAAGCTATAAAAGTGGTTATTTTCTACATGTTAAATATTTATATGTTACCTATGTATAAAGATTGTCAAGGTTTGGTAAGTTTTACACCAAAATGTTAATGATAATTATCTTTGGGCAATAGAGTTATCAGTGTCTCAAAAATTTTATTTGCTTTATTTGAATTTTCTGATTTTTTTCTAAAATGAATAGGTATTGTTGTTGTTAGGTGCCACTGGGTCGATTTTGACTCATGTGACAGAGTAGAATTGCCCTATAGTACTTCCTAGGCTGTAATCTTTACCAAAGCAGATTGCCAGGTTTTTTCTCCCATGGAGCCGCTGGGTGAGTTCGAACTGCCAACCTTTCATTCAGCAGCCGAACGCTTAACTGTTGCACTACCAGGGCTCCTTGAATATGTATTATTCTCTGTATATATGTTTTGGCAATACAGACCAGTCAACCCAACCTTAAAAGGCTGAAAGTTACTTTTAATTACCGTTGCAAAATAAATGTTGGTAAAAATTCTAAATCACTGTTTAAGACTTGTTTGTCAGAGACTCCTAGTTCTGGATGTTAGTCATAATATCCTCTGTTTCAAATTCATCTAAGGGTTTTCCTGTGGGCCTGCCCAATGCCGTAATTGCAATGGCACCTGACTCTTACCAGATAGCCTCTCCAGAAGGACTGAATGAAGAGCGCTGCTTCCTCTTCCGTCAGCAGGAGGGACAGTGGGATTGGCGGCCGGGGACTGAAAAGCAATAAAACGGTCAAATGCTCGTGAGAATCCCTCCCTCAGTCTCGGCAATGCCTTTGACAGCGTCACATTCTCTCTGATTAAGTGCCTCTTCCATCCCCATTCTTAGACAGCAACTATGTCATTTTTGATAGAAAAGCTTATGTGTTTGAGTTAACATTTTTTATTTTAAAATCCAGGATGGATTTTTTTTTTTTTTTTAAGCCAGCATAATCTTAAATCACAGGTTAGCCTGCTCTTCTTTGGGCAGGCTCAGGTTGTTAAATTGTATGTTAGTCTTCAAGTTGCAACATACACGTTATTGAGAAATAAGACTATAATTTAAGAGATGGAGGAAAAGCAACCTTTAAGTATTACATTATAATTGAGGTACAATAAACGGCTCTTCTTCTGATTTTCTACTGAAGGGAAATTAAGTAGTCCATCTCTTTCCTGAAAGCAAGAACTTGGAATTTACCTCTGATAATGTGGTTTAAATTCACTCACATTTCAGTTCCACTACTACGTGTTAATAAGCAATAAACTATCTCAAACACTAGGTTCAGTTTACAGTGTCTGACCCCGTACGATTTTTCAGTCTATGATGGGATTTTGGTCATAGATACCACAGGTAAAAATCATGGTTAAATTTTTTTTTTCCTACAAGTTTTATAGAGTCACTAACTGCTGACAAGGTCTTGCAATTCTGACTTAATTCTGTGCCTTTATATTTCCCCCAATAACAGCTACCCATGCAAAGCAAGGGCTAAGACTTTTCAGATACACTACAAACGTACAGACCTCTGGAAAGATGTGAATCCCAAGGCGGCTGCCTCCAGGACAGGTTCCCCAGAAATGACTTTGCAAGTGAGAGCTTCCCCAGGGCTCAGGCCCCACAGCCCTCCCTAATGACAGTCATCATTGAGCTTACAGTCATTCTCATTGCATAGAGAGGAGTCCCTGGTGGCACAAACGGTTAAGTGCTCAACAACTAACTACCTGAAAGGTTGCTGATTCGAACCCACCCAGAGGTCCCTCGGAAGACAGGCCTGGCGATCTGCTTCCAAAAGGTCCATTCACTCCGAAAACCCTGTGGAGCACTGTTCTACTCTGTACGTATGCAGTCACCATGAGTTGGAATCGACTTGATGGCAACCAGCAACAAGAGAGAGTGACTAACTTGCCAAGGCCACCCAGCTTGTAGGTGGCCTAGCCAGGATCTGAGCCTGGACCCGTCCAAGCCCAAAGCCCAGGCTCCAGTCTCGGTGCCATGCTGACATACCACACCTCAACTGTGCAAACGCTTGCAGATGCCCAGCCTGGTTGGCGCTAGCTGCAAAGCTAAGTAGCAACAATGCATGATTCTCCAGGACCTGGCGTTTTGTTTCCCTCTAAACTTGGACTAAAGAAACATAACAAAAAAAAACTTTGATACAATATATTTGTCTGAATGAATGAATGCTCGTTTGAATCATTCCAGAATCAAGGAAATCAAAGCCAGGAACAGCCCCGGAGGTTATCGAGACCATTCTGAGCTAGCGCAGTGTCCCTGCCAGTCTCTGGCTCCCTGATGGGGCGGGCCCTTTCCGAAAGACCTAGGAAAGGAGAGGCTTCCACTTCTTTGGAGAGAGAATTACACACTCTGAAGGACAGCAGTGTTAGAAACCTTGCCCTAATGTTCAAGTTCCATTTTTATTTGCATAATGTGGTGGCTTTTTTTGATTTGGTTTTTCAGTCCTGTTTGTTTCCACCTCTTCTTGCCGGATATGTGCTCTCTTGGCTATAAGGGAGCATTCCAGTCTGCTGGAGACTGGCCACTGGAGGCAGGTGGGCTCCCCGTGTCCACGCTCAGTGGCTCTGCTCCTCTACCGTCCTTAGTCTCTAAATCTCAACTGTGTGACACCAACAAATCATACCCATTAAATGATTTCCCTTCACTAGTTGAAAATCAGCAATTTCTAGAGAGGCCTTGGTGTTTCTAAGCAGACCTTGGTGTTGTGGAAGTGAGTTTTTCAGCATAATGCTATATAACGCATTAACCCCAGCTGGTATTTACTGAGAGATCTTCAGATGCCCTTCCCACCAGGCCTGCTCCTTGGACTCCAGCCATGCTGGTCCTCTCATTTCCTCAAATGTGCACGCTCCCTCCCACATCAGGGCCTTTGCAGAGGCACTTTCCTCTGCTCCAGCAACTGCTACTCCCAACCAGGGCCGCCATGTAGAGTTGTACAGGTTGGTCTCTGCTCAAGGGCACCCAGCAGATGGACCAGAGGCTACTGAAACTCAGCCCATTCTCAGGTTGCTCAGCCACGCTTCTGCCCAGAGCTTTAAACCGGTTCATTCTGGTACGAGCTCCTGCTTAAAATTTGCATTTCTAACAAGTTTCCGGGAGATGCTAATGTTACTGGTTAGAGACCAATTCTGAGAGCCACTAGTAGAGCACTGGCTCTCAAAATTTATTATATATAGGAATCACCTGGGGATCTTGTTAAACTGTAGATTGTGATTCAGTATATCTGGGGTAGAAATGCAAATTCTCAGCAGGGCTTTGAATGAACTGGTTCGAAGCCCTGTGTTCTGCCCTAGGGAAGGGGCAACTTTTCCTAATCTGCTCAAAGGCACCACAAGGGCTGGTGGGAGCCTGACACCTTTCACCTGGTCCATTCACTCTTACTCCTTCCAATCTCCATGCACATGTTATTTACTGAAAGATGTCCTTTGATGAGATCAGGGCCCAATGGTGCTCTGTCAGTGTCCTTCCTAGTCCCTGACCTAATCTGGAGATGTAAGATGGAAGTAGATAATCTGTGTGGTTAGCTAATTAATGCCTGAAACCTGGACTGGACTGAAAGCTCCATGAGGGCAGGGACTGGGCTTGTGCTTGCTCTTCTTGGTACTCCCAACTCTTAGTACAATGTCTGGCACATAGTAGGCACTCACTAAATCATCTGTGGAAGCAGCCGTTGCCTCTGTACCTGGCAATGTGCTTAGCCCTTTCCACACATCATTTCATTTAATCCTTACAACGATAATAATGAGCTACTGCTATCCTTCTTTTTGAGTGGAGTAAACTGAGGCTTAGAGGGTAAAGTAACTTGTTTAAGGTCACCGATCACTTCCTCCTGAGAATGCACGCTGCCTGGGAAACACAGGGAGTGATCCAGAGAGGAGAAGGGGGGTCAGCTCACACGGTCACCAACATGGAAGTCAGGATTCTAGCAGCTATGAGTGTTAAGTAGAAGAAAACAGTCTTTTGCTTCGAAGAAGAAAAAAAAATCAGGGAAAAAAAACATAATCATAGAAAATGTCCTCTTCATTAAACCTTACAGTAATAACTTGGCAGATCCTCATTTGTTTGAGCCTCCACAGGGAAATCATATCAGGACAACTCAACAAGTGGAATTTGTCACTTGTATGTGAGATTTGATGGTGCTTTTCTCTGTAGCTGCCCAATTTTCCTGCTTTGAATATGTTTTTCTCTATTGATGTCATGAAATCCTCAAAGTAACAGGATTCCTGTTTCGGGAACAGCAATAGGGAAGGAGAACTGCAAATCTTAGAATACAACAGGCTGGGCTGGTCCAACAAAGGGCTTTCACCAGTACTGAAACCCCAAACCACTTTGCATCACAATGACATCTCCAAAAAGCAAAATGAGATTTCTAATAGACCTTTAAGCAGTAATACAAGGCCACCTTCAGTGACATCGCTGCTTTCATGGCTAAATAATGCGGTGCTGTCTAGTACTCAAAGCAAGCATAAATATGAGAAAGCCAGTGTAAATCAGGCCAAATGAAAAGGACTGCTGAATCTTCGGAGAGTAGTCCCTGGAAATTATCAATCATTTCAGCAGGCTGGCTAGCAGGGACAGGAGCCGTGCCAGGCCCGCTTCTCTTCCTTGGAATCAGTGCAACTGGCTTCAGGTCAAATAAAAATAGACAGAGATCAGAGGCAATCGCTCATCCTGCAGGGGGGTAGATGCACACATCAATCACAGTAGAAGGCAGCTGAGCTTCCTCAAGTACTCACACTGGACATCCCCACAGCAGACATTTTTGCATGTTCAAACAGGCACAGCAGTACTGCTAAGTATGTTTCCAAAAAAACCGTTTTATTGGTAATGCTCATTTGTCATGTCCTTTTTTTTCCTCAAATGTGAATTAAATATATTTTAACCATAAGAATCCATGCTGTACTTGGGAGAAGGAACAGGAACTTATTTTTCTGATTGTGTGTGTGCGTACCTGTACACTTCTTCCTCCTTTTATTGGATGTGAAGTAAAAAATCTGCAGAACATAAAGAAGATATGCTATAGAATGGGGCCCTTGTGGCTTGTGGTTAACGGCTCGGCTGCTAACCAAAAGGTCGGCAGTTCAAATCCAGTAGCTGCTTCCTGGAAACCCTATGGGGCAGTTCTACTCTGTCCTATAGGGTTGCTATGAGTTGGAACTGACTTGACAGCAATGAGTTATGCTATAGAATACTCACAGAATACATACTAAGAAGATCTGAACAGTTAGTCTTTATCAATTTCTCTATACAGCTCTAAGAGGTACCATCTAAAATTGCATGTAAGCAGAATAAAGCAGGAAGGAGAAAAGTTTGCTTTACATTGAAATTTAATCTCAAATTCTATCCACTTTTCATTAGGTAAGACATTAAGTTGTTTCTGTAGACCATGAAAGCACAATCCAGATGTAAAGCCATAACATAGACAACTGTTGTTGCTGAGCACCATAAAGTTGATACCAGCTCATAGCAACCCTGTATAACAGAGTAGTGCTCCCCCTTAGAGTCTCCTAGGCTGTAATCCTTACAGGAGCAGATCACTAGGTCTTTCTCCCAAAGAGCCGCTGGTGGGTTTGAACCGGTGATCCTTTAGTTAGCAGCCAAGAGCTTAACCATTGTGCCACAGTACAAACACTAATCAACTATCATTCATAAAGATGCAGTGGCACAGTATTTGATAATGTCCACCCAATGTATTCAGCAAAAGAGATGTTAACCAGATCTT